GTGCTCGTCGTTGTCCGTCGTGGTCGTGGTCGTGGTCGTGGTCGTGGCCGTGGTCGTGGTCGTGGTGGTCGTGGTCGTGGTCGTCGTCCGTGTCGACGCCATCGTCGCTCATCGCTCGTCGCTCGTCGCCCATCGCTCGTCGAGCCTCCTTCGCCGCTCGACCCTGGTCGTTCGGTTTTCGCCGCCGCCGTTCGCCGCTGCCGCCGTTTGCCGCCGCCGCTTTTATCGTCCTCGTGGTGCGCCAGCAGCACCATGAGCTTCATCATGGAGGAGTCGGTCGCCTGCAGCGTCGGCGGCGGAGCGGAGGCCTCGCCGCGCGGCCATGAAGGGGAGGTACCGATGGCCCTGGGAGGGAAGGGGCGAGGGCAGCGAGGAGAGCAAACAGGTGGGGGAAGGGGGGGAAGACATGGGGGGAGGATGGGGCGAGGGAGGAGGAGGAGGACGCAGTGCGCTTTTGCAAGCCCCTCCTGGGAGGAGGAGGAGGAGGAGGAGGAGTGAGGAGGAGAGGAGGAGGAGGAGGAGGAGGAGGAGGAGGAGGAGGAGGAGGAGGTAGGAGGAGGGGGAGGAGGAGGATGGAGGAGGAGGAGGAGGAGGCAGGACGAGGAGGAGGAGGAGGAGGAGGAGGAGGAGGAGGAGGAGAAGGAGAAGGAGAAGGAGGAAGAGGAGGAGAGGAAGAGGAGGAGGAGAGTAGGAGGAGGAGGAGGAGGAGGAGGAGGAGGAGGAGGAGGAGGAGGGGGGATATATGACATGAGGGGAGCGAGGAGGAAGGGAGGAAAGGAGGAGAAAGGGAGGAGAAAGGGAGGGGAGGAGGGGGAGATGATGAGGGGGAATGGGGATGACGGGCAGACGGAGGATTGGAAGGGTGAGGAGGAGTGGAGAGGGAGAGGGAGGCAGGATGAAGGCTGGAGATAATTGCCGGGCTCCTTTTGCCCCTCCTCTCCCCCTCCACGGTCCTCCCCCTCCCGACCTTGCTCGGATCTGGAGGTCCTCCTGCCTGTCCATCCTCCTGCTCGTCCTCCTCCCCATGTTCCCGCCTCGCGCCCCCAGTGGAGAGCACGCAAGCGGGTCGATAACGAATGGGGTCGGGAGCAAACTCAATGCAATCCCCTGAGCCTCAACTGGTTGCAGTGCCCTCGTTTGTGGTTTTTCAGCGGTTGAGATGCAGTCGACCCATGCCGTCAGGATGCGCGGGAAGGATGCCGAGGGACCCGGGCGCCCACGCCGAGGCTCTTCGAGCGGGGCTGGCCATCGAGAGCGGTTGAGGATGGACCGAAGGCGACCGACGAGGCAGGGCTGCAAGGGTTGGCGGCGCGCAAAGGGGGGTAGGGGGAGGGGGCAAGGCTTCTTAGAAGCACCCTGCTTCCTAGAAGGCCTTGGCCTGACGTCCATAGAGAAGGCCCGCGCCTTCTGAGAAGCAGGGGTGCTTCGAAGAAGCCTTCCCCCCTCCCCCTACCCCCCTCTGCGCGTTGCCGAAAGGGGGAACCTGTGAAAACTGCTCCTCCTTGCTGTGCGGGTCCACTGTACACCCTGCGAAATGCTTAAGAAATCATGGGTTGAGAAATTCATAGTCTCAGAACTTGCATAAAAACCCAACATTTCTATCAACATCTTAAGGTTTACATTGAAACGTTAAGAATAATCGAGACTCTGGCCGAAAACTTGGGTTTTCTTAAGCATCGCCTAAGGTGTAATTGCAGTGCCTCCCCTGCCCCCCAACTTGGGGCACGGCGCCTCCCCGTGGCCCCCTGGGCGCGCCTGCCCCGTCCCGAGGGCGGTGCTCTCCCTCCCCCTCCCTGGCCATCGCTCGGACGTCCATCTCCTGCGTTTTTTTCGGTTTCGTGCGTGGTTGTGTCGCGAAGTCATCAAGGATGCTCCTCGATGGTCCTCGCCGAGGCAAAAGTTCGAGTAGGGGATCGACTACATAATTGATTCACCCCGAAACTGATCCTCCATCGAATCAACGACGAAACTCTAGAATGCTCAGCAATCTACGGGGCCCTCTGCATCTTTCTCCCAGACTCGAGGGGAAACCCAATGTTGGGGCAACTCAACTATTCTGTAGTCGATCCCTTACTCGAAGAGTGCACACGCCCGAGCGATGCCAAGCTCCTCCCCCCCGGGGCGCCGCGGCGGGCAGGGCGCCGGTGGCCGCGCGGGGGGAGAGGGGGCGCGGAGCGGGCGCGCAGGGCCCGGGCAGAGGCGCCCAGCCTCGCGCTCCGCGCGGCGCGGCCGCGCGGCCAGCGGCGCGCGCTCGCGCCGCTCCCCGGGGGGAGGAGAGGAAGACGAGGAAGGCTCGGAGCCGCACCGCGGAGCGCGACCTCCTCCTCCTCCTCCTCCTCCTCCTCCTCCTCCTCCTCCTCCTCCTCCTCCGCTTCCTCCCCCCACTCCTGGCCCTTTCGATCAGGGTCGGCGGCACCGGCCGTCAGTCCTCTCCAATTGGAACCCGGAGCGCGAATAACTTCGCGCCCCCGAGAGCACCCTCCAGAGGTCCTGGGAGGCCCCCCAGAGGTGTCCAGAGGTCCAAGACGAAGGCAGGGCGTGGACACATCCGGGTGTGGACCGATCAAGAGTCTCTGAGGTGCAGCAGCTCTGGGGGATGTCTCGGGCGCCGCGGACTTCTCAGAGCGTTCTGGAAAGCTCTGAGAGCCTTCTGGAATGCTCTGGGGTGATTAAATTCTCCTCGTCCCAGCCCCGTACGAAGGTCCCGTACGAAGGTCCCTGGATGTCGTTTCCCGAGGTCCCTGGATGCCCGTGGAGGTTCCCGGAGTTCTCAAGGGTCCGCCCCAAAGCAAAATATTGTCAAAGCTGCGTGCAGCCTCCATCATCGAGGATGGGACGGAGGGAGGAGATGAAGGGAAGGAAGAGGAGGAGGAGGAAGAGGAGAAGGAGGAGGAGGAGGAGGAGGAGGAGGAGAGGAGGAGGAGGAGATGGTGGAGGAGGAGGAGGAGGAGGAGAAGGAGGGGGCCGCGAGAGAGGAAGTGGAGGAGAGGAGGAGGAGGAGGGAGGAGGAGGAGGAGGAGGAGGAGGAGGAGGAGGAGGAGGAGGAGGAGGAGATGAGGGTAGGAGGAGGAGGGTAGGAGGAGGAGGAGGAGGAGGAGGAGGAGAGGAGGAGGAGGAGGAGGAGGAGGAGGAGGAGGAGGAGGAGGAGGAGGAGGAGGAGGACCCCCCGCGCCCAGGGGATGCACGTTCTGAAGGAGGCAGCGTGCCTCCGCACCCCGAGGACGCTCGCGCTGCAAGAGGCAGCGCGCCTCGGAATGCGGCGCCTGCAGAGGCACGGCAGCAGGCGACGCGCATTGGATAGAGAGAGGGAGAGAGAGAGAGGGAGAGAGAGAGAGAGAGAGAAACAAAACAGAGAGAGAGAGAGAGAAAAAGAGAGAAAGAGAGAGAGAGAGAGAGAGAGAGGGAGAGGAGGGCGGGCGAGAAACTGAAGAGCGGTGCGCGCCGCGGGAGGATCATGATGCATGCCCCACTGCTCCCCGCAGCGCGCGCGGGGTCTGTTCTTGCCCGCGCGCGCGCGCCTCAGAACCGACCAGACCCTGGTCGCGGCGAGCTGCGGGGGCCGGCACTGTGGCCACCGCCTCCGCGGCCCGAGGACGCGCGCGCGCTGCGGAGTGCGCGCCGCGAGCGGCCCCGCGCAGGGGCTGAGCAAGCAGGCGCCCGCGCCACATCGCGGGGCGGAGGACGGGGCAGGGTCGCGGCGGGCGCCAGAAGCAGGGCGACGGCGCGCCGACCGTCTCCCCTCGGGCGCCGCCCAGCTGCACCGGAGGACGGCGGCGCGCGAGGAGCGCCTCGATGGGGGGCAGCTGCTTCGTGCCGGGGGGCCTCGATGGGGGGCCAGAAGGCTCGGAGGCTCGCGCGACGACCGAGCGACGCGGAGGAGGAGGAGGAGGAGGAGGAGGAGGAGGAGGAGGAGGAGGAGGAGGAGGAGGAGGAGAGGAGGAAGGAGGAGGAGGAGGGGGAGGAGGAGGAGGAGAGGAGAGGAAGGAGGAGGAGGAGGAGGAGGAGGAGGAGGAGGAGGAGGAGGAGCGAGGAGGAGGAAGAGAGGAGGAGGAGGAGGGTGAGGAGGAGGAGACGCGACTCCGACGCGGACGCCGCCGGGGCGCGCGAGCCGGGCTGCCGCGCGGGCGAGGCGCCGGCAGCGACCTCGGCCCCCGACGCCCATGCCGCCGCGAGCGGAGGGGGCCGCGCGCCGACGACGAAGGCCAGCTGCCCGCGAGAGCAGTCGCCGGGCACGGTGTGACGCTGGGAGCATGCTCGACCGAGGCACCGGCAACGCCGCGGGCGGAGCGGGCGGCCGTCGGGCGCCGCGCCGAGCTCGAGGAGGGCTGGAGGCGGGCCCCTCGAGCTCGGCACGGCGCGCGCGAGCACCAGCGCTGACTGCTCGCCGTCCGCCGCCGGCAGGCCCGTTGCCCGATCCACCAGCGGGCGGAGGTGCGGGGTCAGCCAAGGACAGACATCTGTGGGGAGGGCCAGCGCCAGGCAGTCGCCCGAGGTGATCGGCCGGCGCGGCGGGGGCGAGCAGAACGCAGAACGGAAGCTCGAGACGCGGCGCGTAACCCTCCGTCGGGCAAGCACCTAAAAAACTCCCAGTCGTGCCGAACGCCATCTCCGTCCATGCCGTGCCCTCGTCGTCGGCATCCCCGCGGCCCGCCATCGCTCAAGGGGACCAAGGACACACAAATAAATACACACAAATAACAGGATTCCCTATACTTTCCAATATTTTCGGGGTTTGTGTCTTCCCCTCCACTTCCCATCTTTTCCCATATTTTCTGGGGAGTCGACGATTAATTGTGTCTGTGTGTTCCTTTCCCTCCTGAATCGCAAGAACCGCACGGGAATCTCGCAGACTCCGCGCGCGTCCCGTCTCTGCGCCGGGTGTGGCAGGAGGCGCCGCGCCCCGATGCCCCTTCCAGCGCGGGGCGCCCGCGCAGGGCAGCGTCGTGGCCTGGCCGCGACCCCCCGAGCTCGGACACAGCGAGCTCGGCCCCCGCTGCTGCGCTTAGGTCGGGCACGTCCTCTTACAGGCGGATTTGGGGAACATATGAAAATACGGACAGCTGCTCAGACACAGCTTCAACAACATGCCAGGACAATCGCCCCCAACGCATCCGCTTCCTATTCTTGAATCTCCCTCCTGTGATCGGGACACGCCCGACCTGCTGCTGCCCACGGCACGGTATAAGCTGCCGTGCCGAGCGAGCAACGCCGTCGGAGACGCCACGGTAAAACAGGGCTAGGATCGGGATAAATCGCTCCAGGGCGTTCCGAAGCGCTCTCAGAGCGTCCCGGAACGCTCTGGAGCGGC